TTCAGTTCTTCCCTGAGTTTCGGCGTGAAGTCGGTTGCGATTAAACTGGAAACGTTCTTGGTTGAGTTGCAAACAACGGAAACTAATCTGATGAAGTTAAGCTGATTATTTCAGCCTAAATTTCTCTTTCTGGGTCAAAACTACTCACTSAMTTTCCTCACTCATGTGTGAAAATTGCGCTGGAAGCTTGGGGAAAATTGCTTTGAAAAGGGAAAAGTCGCCGTCACCACACTCGAAAGTTTCCACTCGCCACCGTCATCAGACATTTTGGGAAGAWTTTTTTTGAGCSAAAATGYCGATTTCTGTTTTGAAATTCGCATTTTAGGCAAAACTTGTACTGAAATTTTGAGCAAAGTTGCACTGAAAAGAGAGAAAACTTTCCATTCCCCACCGTCATYAGGGATTTCGTGGAAAAATGCATCAAAAATAGACAATCTGGCGCCTTATGCAATATCTCCTTCTCCTGTAGATCCCACTATTARCGAATCACCCTGTACAACTCCTGTTCATAACAGCTTCAGCTACACTTATTCTGCACARTAATTCCCTCTCGACGACGAATAAGCCCTTTCTTTGATAAACGGTATTGAAATTATTCAGCACGTGAAAGAACCTGCCCCTCCGCCTGTATACCTTGAAAGAAGCCCAACATTTAAAGTAATCTAGTTTACAAAAGGGCCTTTATATCAGATGCATGCATTCATCGCGATCGAGCACAGTCTAAACGACCGGGCAAGTGTTGGCGGAGCCCGCGGATCCGCTCAGACTGGGCCTGAATTTTTTATTTCCTTTCGGGAGAAAACGGGGCGATAACAAAAACGGCTTAGTCGATGTTTGGCTGGAGAAATTTGTTGTGCTTTACAGGGCCGTTGTTGTTTCAGAAATGCGCCCTTAAAACGGACTGGACAGATGCTTCATCATGGACAGTGCAATGCGAAGAAATGGGTTGGTGCAACAAGGGCTTCTTCTGCTGATTTGGAGTGTTTTTGGGCTGGAAGCAGTAGATCCATGTGAGTGTTTCACTTTTATTCATAGGCTTGAATTGGGAGGACTAATGCCCGGTTGCACCGTTTGACTAAACAGTGATTAAAAATTTAATCGTCGTTTAGTTTGAAAAATGTGTTGTACCGTCGCTTAAGCACTGTTTTGTGTATTCTAAACAACGATTATATTAACCGGCACTTTTTGGCTGATTAGCGCCCGATTAGGGACCGTTTAGTATATTTTCTTGATTTTTTTTATTACGGGTGACAG